GCCCCCAGACTCGCCTGTGATTATTCTTTCCTTTCCCAGGAGTGCTGTGGTCTGTTTGTGACCAATATTCAGGGCCTTTGTGTAGCCCAAGGCCACCTTAACCTTTGCAGGGCCTACCCCGCACAGGGCACATTAAACATCAGTGTTTTGAAGCAAAAACCCTCACGATTTTTTACCATTTTGCTTGTGAAATTATTTGGCTGTGAGTAACTCGTTGCTTCTCAGTGTGCTTGTGTTTTAAAAATTTCATTGTGTATATTCAGAAATTCTTGCAAAGTGAGAAAAACCTAACCCAGAAATGTTACCAGATGTGATGAAATGAATTTGAAAATCACATTAAACAATTGATGAAGTTGATACAATGATAAACTTTCTGGAAATTTAGTGAAACGTATGTTTTGATTTGCTGTTTCTTTATCTTGGAGCCAATAACATGTTTTGCTTTGATTTTTTTTTTTCCCCCCTGTAGCCTAAACCTTTTGCAGGTCCTGAACAGCCGAAGGGCAACAGGCGACCCCTTCATGGGGTGCAGGTGGAGCGGAAGGGCCTTAGAGGAGGTTTAGTTGTGGTGATTATTTGCTTTGCACCCAAAGAAATGGCCCTTGTTTCTTCTCACAGCCAGGGGCACCGAAGCCACAGGAAGTGTGCAGCCCGGAGACTGCTAGATTGAAATGGGATGAAAACATTTGAAAGTCTTGTGCAGAATTGTCTCTTCTTTGAGGGAAGCAGTGTTGGTCAGGAGCCATAGGAAAGCTCACCTTCTGCACCTGCCCTCACCAAGGTGGGGAGCTAGGCGTCTCTGTGGTTTGGGAATATGGTTTTCAAATGGCGAGGTCAGCACTGCCAAGTTAGTGACTACTCTTAGCTTACTTGTGGAAGTTTTCAGTACGTCTTATGTGTTAAAAGTGATTCCTAGACTTGCTTACAACTCCTGTAGTTAGTATCCCATCAGCTCGGCGTCTGCTGGCCATCAGCCTACCGGAACTGCTTTTCCAGATTAAAACCAAATGCAGCCATGAGTCCTAGCGGGTCACACGTTTCCACAGATGAGATGAAGGCAGATTTGAAGTTGAATAGTTAGGAAGGAGATGGGTGTGGCTGGGACCTGCAGAGCAGAGCAGCCTTCTGGTACCGTGGGAGCCGCCTGTGGGTGAGTCTGGCCTTCCAGGAAGAGGCCGCAACTGACATTCCACGTTAGGCTGTCGACCGTGCAGAATGCGGCGGGGCTGCAGGCCAGCCTGGGCTCACTAATAACGGAAGAAACGGGGAGCACTGTAAGTCATTGGACAGCGTCCATGTTCCCCAAATCAAAGGGGCTCCCACTGGCCCTCATGTAGAGGGGACCCCACCAGGGGCCTGTTTGCTTCCCCAAGATGTGGGCAAAATCAGCCAAAGACTTCGCTGAGGTTCTGGGGGGCAGTGGGAGCTGGAGGCAGGGGCGATGGTCGGGGAAGACCGACCTTGGAGGCAGGAGTCTCCGCTCGGGTCCCTGTTTCTGCTGAGCGGTTAGCCACCTTCCTTAGGGTGGCAGTGCCCGTGGTCTCTGCCCCTGGGAGGTGTTGCAGTGTCCTCGGGGTGTGTCCTGGGCTGTGGAAGTCCCAAGGAGGCAGCGCTGTGAAGGAGCAGGTTCCTGCCAAAACCCCAAAGGAAAGCCGCTCTTGCACAGCCCACCCCCACCCCAGCGAGAAGAAACGCTGGCCCCTTGGCTCTTGGGGAACAGAATCCCTGGAAATGGGGCCTCTTCCCGGGCTCAGGAGGCGCGAGGCCCTCCTGTCCGCCTCCTTCTTCGAGGACTTGGAGCTGTTCCTGATGAAATGCGCTGTATTTTCCCTGCCCACCCCCCACTGTGTTCCGTGACCTCCTCTAAGACCTCAGCGGCCTGAGGAACGCTCTCAGCCTGCAGACACACAGGTCACGCCTCAGCCACCGGGGTCCGTGGGTCATTCCTTTACTCCCCCACAAAGCCCTGACCCACAGCCTCCACTGCCCAGGTCACCCTTCTCCTGCAGGCTCAGGTAGAGCCTCAGTCACAGCTCAGCTCCTGTGTTGCCCCTCTGTCCCCACCTGGAGCTTCTTGAGAATGGTTGCTCTTCACGTGTGTCCCAGGGACCAGGCACGCTTTGCCTTGGACCACTGTCTGGGCAGTGCTCTGGCCGAGGAGCCGCTGGGACCAACTGGATTCTACCTTGGACCGAAACTGTTTTGGGGCCCTCTGCCCTGTAGCGACACTGACTCGTCTGTCCTTCTTGGGTAGGGCCCACCCTGGGCACCTGCTGGGGGGGACAGCGTGTTGGAACTCCTACCAGCAGAGAAGGGGCTGGCTGCTGACTAGTTCCCTCTGGCTTACAAGGTGAGGGGAGGAAATGTAGGTGGTGTTTTTGTTGACGCCGGCCCTTTGGCAGGTCCCCGTGGGCACACACCTGTGCTCCTTCCCTGGGGGGCCACCTTTCCCCAGCGACCTCTGAGGACAGCCCCTGGGGTCCTCTCCCTGTCCACCCCCAAAGCCCCAGCCTGCCTTTGCTGCCTCGTCCTGTCCATCTGTCTGCCTCCACTGGAGAGTGAGCCCCAAGGACAGCTGGACGCGCTGTGACAGGACAGATAGAAAGCTGTGAAATGGTAAAATGTGCACTAAAAATAGCAACGTGTAGTGTCGTAGGGCTTTCTGTTTCCAGAAACCCAGTCTGATCTTTGTGAAGTGTCCCTGTCCCTGCCATCACACTGTCTGCTCCTACCCAGGGCATCCCTGTGACTGGAGGCTCCGCCGTGCAGGCCAGGGGCAGCTGAACCCCTCGTGCAGAGCCCCCTCTTGTGGCACAGCACAGAGCCCCTCCTGTCCCTCACCCTTGCCTTGCAGGCATGGGGGCGGGAGGGGCCGAGGGCGGCCCAGTCTGCAGAGAGCTGCCCTTGCTGGCTCGGACCACGCTGTCTCCAGGGAAGTGTGAAGGTGGTCACACACAGCCCCAGGAGAGCTGTAGGGTCCTGATGTGCTCCCTGGGCGGGTGCCCTGGGACGGGACAGCCTTGGTACCCAGAGCTACATCACGCCTTCTGGCTTTCCCAGTGCATACTGGCATTTAACTTATTTTAACCCTTGGGTTAAACGACAAGAATAAAGTTAAGCCTTCCAGTGTTCCTTCTGAAGTTCAGCTCCAGCTGCCGAAGGGCTCCTGTGAGGCCCGGGGTTTCAGTTGGTGGGGTGTTCCAGGCACTTGCACACATCCTGCTGAGCACAGCTGTGCTGTGATGCCCTGGGTGTGGCCTTTGTCCTGAAGCAGATCTGATAAGGGCCAGTGTCCCCACCCTCGCAGGAGCTGAGACTCAGTCAGGCTTTTGGTTCCAAATTCCCTCTCTGAGAGGCAGGGCCCATTGTCAGCCAAGGCCAAGGTCGGTGTGGAAGACCCTCCCAGGGCACTGACCTGTCCTGCGAGTGCCATCATCCCCGCCCGACTTCCACTTGTGCTGTGACCATGGACAAGACCTCAGCCCTCGTCTCTAAACCGAGGAGGTCAGCTCTGTGAGATTCTGGAGCCTGACCCTTTTGACAAGTGTGCCTGTGTGTGCTTCCGGGAAGAGGGCCCCACAGTTTTCATCATCCTCTCCTAGGCCCAGTGGAATGAGACAAGACAGGTGGATTTGGGTGGGAGAAACGGGGTGGGGAAGGGAGTCCCAGTGGGGAGAGCCTGGCCTTTCCAGGGCATCATGTGTGGTGTTAGAGCTCAGGGCTTGGGGGGCCAGGCTCTGGTGGGCTTCTGTTGTTAACCCTGTCTCACAAATTCAGGGAGTTTGAACCTGAATAAGAAAAAATAAGTCTGTTTTCTCCACCTCGAACTGGATTTTAGCTTTTCCTTCCACTGTGAATGTTGGCAGCAGACCACAGTGGCGTCGGCAGGACCAGCGGGAGGCAAGGGTGCTTTTCTCAGGGTGGGAGCCACCACAGGGCTACTGCACTCAGCTCTGCCCAGTTACTGGCTGTCAGGCCCGCCACAGAGGCATTGACGAAACACGGATGATTTTGTTTTCCTGCTGATGTCTTCCAGTTTGTGCCTGTGTGTCCTGTGTCATGCACTTAAGAACCTGAGAAGGGCCCAGAAGCCCCCCGCGTTGCACAGGAGCCCGGGTGGAGGAGCCGAGCTTTGCTTTGCGAGGACGGGCCTCGTGCCCTGACAGCTGCTCCACTCTGGACCGCGGCAGCCGCTCTCCCTGTCCTCCAGGAGCTCACTTACATCGGGCCGTGAGCTCCTCGGGGCCAGAGCCCGTGTCTGCCTCAGTGTCAGCGCCAGCGCCAGCCCAGGACCTCCGGAGGGCGCCGTGCCCGCCACACACAGGGCCCACAGACCAGCTCGTGGTGTTTCCGCAGCAGCTTAATATAGCTCATCAAGGCAGCAGCCTCCTGAATTGTTGATGTGCAAATTTTCTGAAATTGTTTTCACTTTAATCAGGATATTGCAAACAAAGAGGGGGAATGTTGACCATTGTTGATTTGTAGCAGCAGGAAGATAACAGTATCCCATGTTGTTTAGCCAAATGTTTTGCCTGAAGTGAGAGGGCGTTTGGGGAAATTAGTCAGTAAAGGATGTAACGATTTGTACCTGCGTATGTATCTTATATCACTAACTGTAGCAAATCCAAGTGTCACTGTGCACGTCTCACCTTTAAAAAGGCCGCTTGGTCCTGGTTGTGGCTCTGCAGGTTCCCAGCAGAAACTCTGTACAGGGCACGAGGGGTCTGTTGCTGCTCACAGTTGCACATGCGTCATATCATTAAAAAATTGGGAAACACTCCCCCTTTTGTTTTTCATTGTTTTTAAGAAAGGGAAAAATAATTTGCTAATGTGAATTGCCCTTCAGAATTTTAATAACTGGGGCAATAAGTCTGATCGAGGTTTAGTCTTCAAACTGGAACAGAATTTCTGATGGCGCGCAGGTGGGGATGTGGGTGTCCGGCCCCAGGAACCTCTGGGTTCAGGACCGAAGGAAAAGGGCCCCTTGACTGGGGAGGCGCGCATGTCTGGGACCAGCTTGCTTTTACATGCAGGCCTTGCTTCTCTGCTCTATGAGCTCTGGGCTCCCCAGGAGCAGGGTACCCAGACCACAGGGGTCAGCAGACAGCAGCACTCTACCCTGCTGACCAGCAGGTAGGTGCCTGTGGTTAAAGGTCACGCCCCAGGGACCTCTGGGGCAGGGCTCTGTCCAGCCCAGGCCAGTTGCCGTGCCCTTTGAGACTGTCTGCCTCTGTAAACAGCTGAGCTGAGTGGCTGTGCCTCTCCTGCTGCCCCAGCCTCCCCTGGAAGCCGCCTCCCGACCCCCCTGCCCTCCCAGGTAGAGGAGGCGGCTCCTGAGCACCAGTCACTTTCCTCTTACGTATGCAGATGGCAGGCCTCACAGCGCCTACCTGTTTCAGGCTCATACCTCAGTGTCAGTTCTTTTTAATGCACTCTTTTCTAACCCACAGATTCTGTAGGCTTGTTGGCTGATGGGTTTGGCCTGGGTTGCGGAGCTGCTGCCAGCCCCCTCCCATCCAACAGCCATCACCAAGTGACAGGCCCATGATGGCTGGGGACTGGTCAGCAACACCACAGCCCGCTCCCCTGGGCTGTGGCTGAGGGGCCTGACCGCGCAGCTTGCGCCGGCTCCACGCCCAGGTGTCCGTCAGAGCACAGCCCCACCTTCTCAAGGGGAAGGCAGGACCCCAGACTTGCCTGATGCTTAGCTTGCTGTTCCTTAAAAGCGTTTCTGGTGAAGTTTAATTCTGCCGCCGTGATGAAAAGGCTCCTGGGGAATATAATGTTCTGGCATCGTGGGCGAGAGGGAGGCCTGCACCCCGACCCCGAGCCTGCCGTTCCTCCAAGCGCATGCTGTTGTGAATGCGAACTCCGTCCGCCCTGCTCCCCCAGGGCTCTGCCAGCGTCGGGATTGTGCAAATGGCTTGATTTGTTTGAAGAGCTTCTAGCGAGTGCTGACCTCTGCTCTCCCTCCCACAGAGCCCTGGGTCCCCAGCAGAGCAGCGCCCACAGGTGGCAGCCTGCACGCGCTCACCTCTTGCTCCTGGAGGCGGCTGGCAGGCTGCAGGGATGCGCTGGGGTCAGCTCTGGGATCAGGGCGGAGAGGAGCGATTGCCCGGCTGCACGGGTCTCAGGAAATGCCTTCAGGCACCACCGCTGACCACACGGGGGTCCAGCTGAGAGCTCCCAGGCCTGCCCACCCGCCTCCCCTCAGGCCATCAGTGAGACACATCTGGCTGGTCTGGGGCCTCCGGGTGGGGTGGGGCCACAGCTGGAGCAGCTCTCAGCCGCAGCTGGCTAGAGATGGGGTGCGGGCACAGAAGCCCGGGGAGGCGTGTGCACTCGCGTCCTCCTGCTCTGTCCCCACCTGGGCCCCAGGGCGGTTCTTACACAGGCTGCCCTTTGATCTTTGTGGGTCGACACCAGGGTGCAGGACCCCCAGCCCAATGATGACGATGGGGACACAGCCTGCTTCTCTACTGCCTTCTTTTCTCAGTCCTGAAGCAGGAGGATGCCTGGCGGAGGTGGGACGCTGCCCGAGGACGGTGCGCCTGGCCTGGGGTGTGATCCCACAGAGACGGTGACACTCTCCTGGTTGTCCCACCTCCGGAGGTGGGCGGAGCGTTCCACGTGTCCCCTGGGCCCAGGGCCCTATTGATCTCTCCTCAGTGGGAAGAAACCAAGGCTGGGTGGACAGGTCCCGACCACCAGCCACTTCCCTGTACTCCCAAGCCAGTCCTCGCCGGTCCCAGCAGGTGCCCGCCTTCTAAGAATGCCGGAAGGTCAGCCCGTGTGTCCCGGCTGGCTGTGGGGGATTGTCTGGCCCTGCAGGGTGGGCTGGCGGTGTGCCCATCACCTCCGCAGTCCTCGCCTTGCCACCTGTCACCAGGTAGAGGGGTCAGTGTCCATCACAGATCACAGACCCCCCGCTGGAGGCAGTCCTGGAACCACCCCATGTGCTCGGCGCTCTTCCTCTGTGCCGAGGGCCTAGCCTCACATGACGTCACTGAGGACAAGTGGCGCCCAGACGCCAGGCCGCCCTGCCTCCGGCTTCCCCCTTCCCCCGGCTCCCGCCGGTGCCTCTGGCCAAGCTGGGAGCCCCTGGCTGCAGTTGGGCATGTCCTGGAGTTTGAGGGGGCCTAGGTGTTGTGCGGTGCCCACTGGAACCCCGGGCCCACCACCCTGGGCCCTGCCTCGCCTGAGCGTCCCTCTGCTGGGGGAGGGGGGCGGGGGGCACAGACAAGGCAGCCCCCGGCTTCCTGAGGCCCCACCTCAGCTCTGCCAGGCGGTCACCTGCTCTCATACTCGCAGCCTTAGTTCTGTGGTGAACGCTGCTCCGTGCCTGACTTCACCTTACTCCTCCCTGGCATCGGGGGCTGCGCTGTCCCCACAAAACTATTTAAAGATGTAACCCTGTCAGCACCGAGGCACGTTCTCTACTTTGCAGGTAGCAATGTTGGACCCCAGCCGGGCCCCTGTTGAGCCTGGCCCTTCTCCCTCTTACCCTGGAGCCTGGAAGCACACGCGTCCTGAGCACCCTGCCCGTGCTAGCCTGTGGGGTCTAGGTGAGCTGGGACGGGCCCGGGGTCCAGAGTCCTGTGCTGGAGCTGACAGGACAGTCGAGGCTTGTGTGTCTGGGGTGAGGCTGGGGTGACAGTGTTATGCAGCAGGCCACTCACAAGTTGAACTCGAGAGCCACTGGGGCGGAATCTAAGCCCCACCTTCCGAAAGGCCCCGCCCCTTCTCAGTTCTTGCTCCGGCCTCCCTCTGAGAGCTGGTCCTGGAGATGCAGGAACCAAACCCAGCCCCATTGGGGGACACCTCTGCCCTTCAGAACCCTCCTCCAGGAGCACCAGTACACCAACCTCGGGGTGGGATGCCTCCTGAGCTCTGTCTGCTGCTCCCCATCTGTCAAGACCCTGGAATGATTCCTAGGGACCCTCACTTCACGCCTGAGAGGAGGGTGAATGCTGTGGGAGGCACATGTGGGCTGGGTCTTATGCTGGCAGGGGGTGGGGAGCTGGGCCTTACAGGGTGGGCACGCCCGGTGCCACCGGGAATCTGGGGCGACCGCCTGTGCCGGCTCCTCGCCACTGCTGTGGGCCGGACTCTGGGGGTACAGCTGTGGGGACAGCCCAACCTGGCACGTAGCAAGCACTGGAAGTGTTGCCAGTTCGAACTGCGTGCAGACACACCCGTGTCGGAGACTCGGTGAAGGAAAGATGGAGTCTCATCACCAGTTTCCTGGGTTGCGTCCACCGTGGTGGGGTGACACTGGCCTTGGCTCGGCTTCCTGACGTGCATGCCGCCCTCCAAGGCCCAGGCTGCGGGTCCTGGTGGAGTGGGTGCTTAGCTGTGGAGTGAGGTTGTGCACACGTGTGCGTGCATGTGAGTGCGAGTGTTGGGGGTTCCGACTGGAGTGTTGAAGAGTCTGGGCCAGGGGACCTGGTGGCCAGCCCGTGGTTAGGAGTGTGCATCTTTATTTAAGTTAGGGCTAAGTTCTAGGTCTCCTGTCTCCTGCTGGAGTTATTTTTCCTTCATACCACATCTTAGAAAATAAAACGTGCCCAACAAATATAAGGAAGCATCACTCCGGTACGTAGACAGGCGGAGGTAGGAGTCCTCTGAGCACCCCGGATGCTGGGTCCCAGAGCTGCCTCATGTCGGTTGAGCTGTGGGTTTCCACACCCACCTCACTGGGCAAAACGTTGCTCTGGCCTAAGCCCTGGTGTCAACACTGAGTCAAGAAGCCCGTTTTCCAAGTGGGAGATCCCGGAGGCCTCGGTGCTGTGTCCCAGCTCCTCTGCAGCCGGTGGCAGGGCCAGCTCAGCCCAGGTCCTGTGAGAGCGCACACCACGCGCGTCCTTCCAGAAATGCTTCACCAAGTCCCCTGACTTCAACGGACTCCCGCACCAGCCATGCACCGCCAGGGACAGCAGCTCCCTCCTATGTCCTCAGCAGGCAGACAGGGTGTCCAGGGCCAGGCAGGCGGCCTCCCGCCAGCTCTCCATGTAAAAGAGAGCTTTTATCTCCACTCCCGGGCAGCTCTGGGAAAAACAATGGACCCTTTGTTGACATAGAGAGCTGCTGTTGATAGTCTTGGAGCCCAGCTTGGGCCAGAGGCCATGGCTGGATGCCTGGGGCCGGGGTGGCTGTCTTCCCAGTGGCCCAGGGACTGCAGTGCTCAGAGCCTCCCTCCAGCCCTAAGGTGCAGGTCAGTCGGATGTTTCAACCTGGCCGCCCAGCACGCTCTGTAAAACAGCGAGAAGGCACAGGGTGGAGGGTGGTCAGAGCCTGTGTCGGCCTGTCCCCCTGGCGTGCACTGCCTGTGGGTGTGTCAGACCAAGCCAGTGGGTGAGCTGACGTCCCAGCTGAATGAATGTCTCTGATGTCTCTCATCGGGCAGGAAGCCCAAACTGGACAGTGCTGAGCCCCTGGGCCGTGGTGATGTCCTTCCACAGGAGAAGCCAGGGCACTTCTGGGCACCCTACCCAGGCTACACACAGGGCCACCCCCAAAACAAGAGCAGAGGGGGGCCCCTGGTGGGTGGGTGGCCCTCGATCCCACCCAGGCTCTGCCTGAGCAAGCTCTGGCCTCCCACAGGTGATGGGGACCAAGGCCACAGGCCATCCAGAGCACAGACCTGGTGTGGCCGCGCGGTTGTGCACAGCCAGGCGTGCCTCCTTTCCCTGCCCCGCGGCCACGCTGCGCCCTCTGCCCGGTGGTTGCTGGCAGGTGGAGATGCTGACCTGAGCCCACCTGTGTGCCGTGTGTTCCCAAGGGCACACCCTGCCCAAGGAGGAGGAAGGGGCTGTCGGGCTGCCAGTGCAGAGTGAAGCACACACTGGGGTCCCCAGAGGCCCAGAGGAAGAATGTGGGGTGGGGGGGCCCTGCCCTGAGCCTACACTGGCCCTCCCCGCCCTGCGTGCCTGCCTCCTTTCTTAGATGAAGGCTCGCCTCCCAAGAGGACAGTTTATCGCCCAAAACCCCCCAGGGGGTGGGAGCCAGGTGTCCTCATGTCACTCACTGCGACGCTGCCCAGTGTTGCTAGCCTCGCAACATCTGATGGCCCCAAACTCTGGTCCTGGAATCAAGGCTGGGGTTCATCCCAGAGCTGACCATGCCCTAGTGTGACCCTGCTGGCAGTGTCACCGGCTTGCACCCCTGCAGGGACAGCCTCCATGCCTGTGGCGCTGTCCGTTTCTCCCTACAGATCAGCCAGCCTGGGGAGCATCAAAGCCATGTCCCCGCCTGGCATGAGCCCTAGGCTGCTTTAAACAAGGACCCTGACTGACCAGGCTGCTTCTGGGGGTAAAGAGGGTGGGCAGAGCCCCCACAGGCGGTCTCAGGAGCAGGGCTGAAAGCAGCCGGAAGCTGTTGAGTGTGGCTGCCTGAGACTGGATTCCCCAGGAAGCAGTGCGGGAGCCGTGAGACCATGTGCAGGAAATGACCCCAGGAGCAGGAGGGGACGGAAGTGTGAGCCGTCCAGGACGCGCTGTCCTGCTGCTTCATGGCCTGAGCAGGTGTCGGGCGAGCCCTGAGACCTGGCCCTGAGATGAGAAGGTGAAGGAGGCGCCCTGGTGGCCAGCATCACTGTGTCACCGGGACAGCCCTTCCAGGAGTGCCCGCTCTTACCCGCCCCGCAGTCGGCTCTCGCTGAAGGAAAAGCCCGGACAAGTGCAGAGTGAAACGCAGTCCACGGCCAGGCCCAGTAGCTAACGTGAGGCTCAGTTTACAGCAGCGGTTCTCAACCTGTGGGTCGCGACCCTTTCACAGGGGTCGCCTAAGACCATCGGAAAACAAAAAGATACTTACATTACGATTCATAACGGTAGCAAAATTACAGTTATAGAGTAGCAACAAAAATAATTTTATGGTTGGGGGTCACCACAACATGAACTGTATTAAGGGGTCGCGGCATTAGGAAGGTTGAGAACCGCTGCTTTACGGGGTCAAATATTCACCAGAGGGAGAAAATCCCGCTGGGTTTTCTCCCCGTGCTCCGGTTGGCTTGAATTGCAAACTCCGTCTGGTTTCCCTGACGTCACCTTTCTGGGGAATAAGTGGCCGTGGAACCCACTTTCGCCGGTTCCTTTGGTTGGGCTGTGATGGTAGAGTTGTCCTCCTTGGGGTCTGGTCTGTGGGAGAACCCAGGCGTGGTGGTGGGGTCCAGGCCCGGAGAGTGTGTGGGGCCACGCTGGTGCCACAGTGGCCCAAAGGCGCCTGTCCTGGATGTGACCAGTGCCCGGCCGGCCCCTTTAAATCGGCCCGTCAGGTCTTGTGGGCGGTTTTCCTGCTTGGGCTGCGTCAGACTGATGTGGTCTCGTCTCGTGCCTCTCGCCAGAAGTCGCCAGAAGTGTGAAGAAATACTGTTGCATGCAGTTCCATTTTCTCCAACGGGCCCGCTTCTCGACGAGAAGCCTCGCATTCTCTCCCGCCTGCGGGGACATGGGATTCCTTGTTTATTTTCAACACACCTGTTAAATGTGGTCAGTATTTTCATTGTCCTAGAAGCTGGTGAGGATTTAATATTTCAACACATTTCTCACCACATGCGTCTACATTACTGAGGACGTTACATGGAGGCATTCACGTTGAAACAGATGGTGTAGACGAAACTCAAGGTCGCTTGGCTGTAGCCGGCACTGTCCTCAAGGGCAGCTGCAGCCTGTCATCTGGGCACACGTGCTGCCATGCACACTGACTTGTGTGCCTTTGAAGCGGAATCCTAGGGACGTTATGTATAGGAGACTTGCTGAGATTTTGCTTTACCCCACTCAGTTTGAGTCTGGATTTCAACCAACCCAAAATGCGAGGCATGGCTGTGCAACCCAGAGCTATCTGCAAACAGGCTGCAGCCTCCTTTCAAGGGCTTTGTCTGTGTTTGGGGAGGTAGTCGTCTTAAAAGCAACTGACCTGCCCTGCCGCCTGCCCCAGGTCTGCCCTGGAGGGTGGGCCTGTCCTGGAGGAGTCCACGGGGTGGGCCCGGACTAGAGGTGCTCCCACCCTCTGCCCCCCACCCCCCCGCCCCGTTCCACCCAGGCCTGCGCGAGGCTATGCCAAGTTCTAGGCCCTGCTGCCAGCCCTGGACCCAGGCCGTGCTCGCCTCCCTGTGCCCACCTCACAGGCTGTCGCTGGGCGTCCTCAGGGCACAGGGCAGCCTTCTCTCACTCCATGACCAGCCCCTCTGGCCTTAGTGGCAGCAGCCGGCACCCCACAGGGTCACAGGGAGCGGATAGCAGGGTCCAGGCCATGGGTTTGGAGGGTATTGCTGTGCCCTGGTGACAGCTGGAGCCATGGGGTGCTGCAGAGTGGTAGCAGATGCTTTTCACCCCCCACCCCCTGCCCACCCTGCCGGCCCACCTTGGAGATCAGTTGGCAGAGCCCAGGCCCCCACTGCGCAGCCCTGACCTCTCATCAGGGCCTGGGCCCGGGCGGCCGCAGGGAGGGTGGCCTGCCTGCTTTTCTCAGGACCGGCATCTCCGTGGTGCCTGCCCAGCAGGTCGGCTGTGGGCGTGTATGTCACACTCAACGTCACCCTCCTCTGTCCTAGACCTCAGCAAACCCCACTCAAAAAGCAGCTGTGTGGGTTCAGAGCCCCCCGTTTCCCTGCCCTGGGCTCTGGCCTTCCAGGCTCTCCTGGGCCGGCGGGCTGTCCGCACAGCTGGCTGCTGCTCGGGAGCCTGGGGCCAGTGGCCTGTGCACAGTAAGAGTCAGGGCTCCGTGTGTCTCACGTCGAGGCTGGGCAGCCCTGAAGCTGGTAAATTCCAGCTGGTTTTCAGGAAGGAAAGGAGCTGGCAGAGCTGGGGTTTTATTTTGAAAGATTCCAAAAGGAGCGGGTGTTGCGTGGGAACACAAAGGTTGTCAAGGGATTGGCACTTCATGAGGGACCTGCTGGGGCGCGTGGGAGGAGGGGCGTGTGACAGGAGGAGCAGAGGAAGGAGGCCCTGCTTTGCTTGGGGGATCCTGGGGTTGCACAGCGGGGGGCTTTGGGCACTCACCCTTCCTGGAAGCGCTTGGGGCCAGGCCCCTGCAGGCCTGAACCAGAGTAAGCACTGGTGTTCTGAGTCCACGGGAAAGATGAAGTGTGTGGACTCACGCTGCAGCCCCCCCTCCAGTGTGGAGCTTGTTGGTATGTTAGTTGGGGAGGGGGTGTGGGGGGGCTGTACTTTCTTGGCAGAGATGGCTGGGGAAAGGTTTCATCAGGAGGCCACAGTGCGTCCTCCTGCCCAGGGGAGAAGGATGGGCACGTGGGCACCTCCTGCTGTCCTTAGTGCAAGGGCTCAGGAAATCCACGTTGAAGGAAGACCCCCAGCTAGTCTGCTCTCAGCCAGGCCTCCTGCACCCTGCAGGGGGTGGGGAGACAGCCAGGGCTCTGTAAGTGTCAGGAGCTTGGGGGCTTCCCACGTGCTGGGGTGGGATGGAGTTACCAGGAGCGCAGGAGTCTGGGCAGCCCTGCCTCCTTCACCAGCACCCTCACTTGCTGCGAGTGTGCGCATGTGCGTGTGTGTGTGTGTGTGTGTGTGTGTGTGTGTGTGTGTGTGTGGGAAGCCAGCGCAGTGGGAGGGCCCAGGATGCACAGCTGCAGCCTGAAGCAGCAC